GCGAGGGAATCTTCTGACTCTTCGATGGTGGTGAGGTTGTTGTTAGCCAGAATAAGTGTGTCCAGAGATGGAAACATAATTCCCAATTTTCGAATTTCAGTCCAGTCTTGAAGATTATTGTCAGTTATGTGGAGTAATTTGAGAGACTGACAGCAAACTGGAGAACAAGACACTGTTTCATAGTCGTTAAGGCACAGGAAGAGCTCCTCCAAGCTGCATGGGGAAGAAAGATCACATCATCATCTTAACATACTCTGTGAAATGATGACCACCTGGGGTGCAGGGACACACACGCTGCTTTAACACAACTCTCTTTAATGGCTCCTACTTGATTTGAAACCTCAGCACAGAGAGGCCCTCTGGAGCACTCCTAATGGAATATTTCAACTATTCTACTCTGCTCTCATTTGTAAGCTTCATCCACAGCTCTACATGTCCCCCTAGTTCCCCAAATACTTTTAGCTGTACAACTTGACTAACAGATCATTTGGGATGGTGCTCCACATTTGTGCCTGATGAGCCACCAGCCCAGCTCCAGTGGTGACTGGTACTTGCTCTCAGTGCTTAGCATTTAATTTAATGAGGTGCTTGTATACAATATATATGATGCTTCTCCCCGCCCTGCTGGTTCTGCCAAAGTCTCCTATTCAAGAAAAGAGGTCTCACTAAGTTTTCAGACAGGTACACCCACTCTAATTCCTGTTATATACACACTGGTCACAGGGGATACACTGCTGCCATCATCTCTGCTTACAAAACTGTGCAAGGAGGAATCTGGTATCAAACTGAAGCCATTGAGGACATCCGGTGAAACTAAATGCCACTGCCAAGGTGGACCATGGCCAAGCCACAGAAATCAACAAACTCATTTGCACAGAAAAGCATGATGAAATATTACTTGACTAGTGGCCAGACCCTCAGATTTACATCCCATTCGAAAGCTATTAGTGCAGGTATGCACTGCACCATTCATTCTGCAGTGAGTCACGTCCTGCATTGTCGGGATCATTATCCATCTCTCAGCACTAGTATCTGGATGTGGAAGAGCAGCCTTGGTGGGCTTTGGAGCACTGCACAAGTTGGCTGTTGTCAAGCCTTCACCCGGCCAGTTCCCAAGCTTTCAAAGAAGAAATTCCATATTCTTCTACTTATGACATTCAATTCCTCACACCCCGCTCATTCCTTATCCCGTTAGTTATTAGGACAGCCCTGAGCTGTGTGCAGTGAGCACCCCATTCTCTGCCCAGTGCTTACTCAGGTAACTCCTGCAGGATTGTGTGGACTGTTTCCCAGGAAGCTTTGCTGTTGTTGAGCACAAGTTTGCGGACACCAGCGAAGGACCCAGCACACCTTCTCTCTAGAACGGACAAACTGAGAGGATTGGAACTCAAGTTTAGAAACTCCAAGTGGGGAACGTTGGACACAATTTTACTGACCTAAGTGAGGAGGGAAAAAAAGAAGAAAACAAAAAGAAAGATGTGTATCAGGCAGTAATCAGACCTTGTGCAATAATATCCCATCTCCTGAAAGGAGCCTCTTTGGAATGTCCATGAGGCTCAAGGAAATTATATGGGGGGTTGAAATTAGGCTGGTGGATAACTACCTGAAATTCATACTCCAGCTATTCACTGATCTGGTTTGATTGGTTAATTGCTCCTTCGCCTCAATGGTTCAATTAATTACAATCTCTGGGCAGCTTGATAAGAGAAAGAAAGAAAGTCTCTGGGGAGAGGTCATAAAATCCACCTGAATGCCCAGCTGCAGCAGCAGCACAGTTCTGGGGCTGCAGCTCTGAATGCTGTCATCCCCACTTTCAGCAGGGCAGTCACGGGCACATCTCCTGAGTTCCTGCCATCACCAACCACTCACTCAGCTTCCCACTGCTCCCCACTAGCCAAAGACTTGACTGTTTTGCCAGAAGCTCATTGTACACACACAGTGAATTCCATATTTGATTCCATTACTCTGCAAGCAGCAGCCTTCCTGCAATTGATCCAAATGCTGGCTACCTCTGCTTGGGGCTCCTTGCTTTCTCTGTGTATATCAGGTGCTGAGGGCATGGTAGCAGAGAGGTGAGGAAGATGCAGAAAGAAGAAGGAAAAACAAAGGCAATAGGGTACAGCTCTGGAGTGCAGCATACATAACAGATCATGGGATCAGGGTAGGTGCTGACCTGAATGCTGCCAATACACAGAAAGATACGGGGAAAGGTTATTAAAATGGTCAATTTGTGGTCACCTAAAAATGATTAAGTGAACAGAACAGCCAGGCAGCATCAATTTGTTAAGAACACATCACGTCAATCTGATTTTCCTCTCTGACTGAGTAACTGACTCAGTGACAAGTCGCATAATGGAATGTCAGCCTCTGAGGCCATCTGCACGCTGGTCACATCAGCAAGCAGAGGGCTTTGAACAGCCCCTGGAATACTGCTCTAAGTTATGAGTTCAGTACAAAACCAGCAGACACCACGAGGGCATCCTCCTGCAGAATGCCACTTGTTATATTGCCAGTGGGCAGAACAGTTGGACACTCTGTGCTTTCCTATTCTGTGGCTGATACTGAGGTGGGAAGGACTGCCAGCATGTACACGAGCAGAGGCCAAGGGCAAAAGGTGCAAGTTCATTGCAAGGATGGATGAGGCACCAACAGTGGAAGAAAGAAAATCATTGAGAACACAGCAACACCTCACTGGAGAGCTCCACTCCACAAAGCAACTGGGATGGGAGAGATTTGGGAAGATCATGACATACACAGGTCAATAACACAGTGCAGGTTGCTAGCACAGGACAACAGTCTCTTGCAAATCTGTAATTCATGTGTTCCATACGTGATGCTGGAGGAATTACTCTGCCTCACTCTGAGCTGATGAAGCCTCAGCTCGGGTGATGTCATGTTTTGGGCACTACAAGCTTTAAGAATGAAACAGTCAAACTGGAAGGACACCGAAGCAACAAAAACAATATGGGATTTAGAACAAAAATGGCCTGCAATGAGAAGTAGGAGTAACTAGATTTTTTTGATGTTATCCTAAGATTGGAAAAGCAGACAGGAAAGCTCCTGATGTGGGTAGAAAAGGCTGTCACAAAGGGAGCAGTAGCAAATGTTCCTCCATGCCTGCTGTGTACAGGGCACCAGCAACTGCCTTAACTTGCAGCATTATGTGACGTGGTTTAGATTAAGAGGTTATTAGCTAGCTGGGCATCTGGAATCCCCATCTCTGGCAGTTTGTAAGAGCTGATTAGATATTTGTCTGCTGGAGACAGGCTAAGAAAACTTAATCCTGTATTAGAAGAAGGGGCCAAAGTAGAAGGAAAGCTTTTCATTTCCTGCTTTACTGTTGTTAACGCAGAGGCCAGCAAATGGTGCTGTCCAGGGGCAGCCTAAGCAGACAGATGAAAGGGCAGCGTGTGAGACATGCAGCTCGTGTGACATGTGGGTGTGCAGCAGCCCCAGCTGCTCAAAGTCTGACAGGGAGGAGAACTGGGAGCAGGGAGGCAGCTCATTGCTGTGGGATGAGGCTTCTGTGGGTCACAGGAGAGCAAGGCAGTGACCCAGCTCAAAACAGGGATGTCTTCAGTATAAAATCATCTTCCCCAGCTCCAATCTCAACAGACAAGACTCTCCTCTCCACCTTTTAGGTCAGTAAGGAAGTAACAGGAACAAGGAAACCTATCTCCAGTTCTGGCAACTCCAGTAACAGAGCAGCAGCACTTCAGCACACACTGGCTCTGCTACCTGTTCAAAGATACAGGAGCTTAATGTGATGGAAATAAAATACCTTTACATTGCTCGTCCTTTGTATTTAAACACTAAACACTGAGTTAAAAGCAGAGCACAAGCCGGTGAGGAACAACAACAGATTGCAATTATTTTACTCATGTTACAGTGCATTTTTCTAGCATATTTCAGCCAAGCACTTCAGAGCATTTTACAGCAGCATTCAGTGCTAATTAACGAGGCTTCAAAAGCGTCCTTTGATGTAGATGTTATTAAACCTGTTTTGCAGATGCCAAAACAAAAGAGGAGAGAGAAGAAATACCTTGCCCAGCATTACAGATTTGGTAGCAAAGCTGGGAATTAACTCCCGCTCCTCAGACCTCCTCTGCTCTTACTCTGTTGAAAACCACACTGCTCATTAACCTCTTGACTTTTGAAATGCCAGTTCCAGTGCTTTGCACAATAAAAAAAATATACATTTGTCACCCACAGGCCAAGATCATAAGTCAAGAAGAAAATGGAGTCAAGTGCCCGAATGGATTAAATTTATCACGTTTATGGCTCTCGAGCTGTCAAACTAAATAAGCATCATCTTCAAAAATGAGTAAGAACTCACAAAATAAACAGAAATTTCTCTCCTTCAAATGAATGAAGTACTCTTATAACCTGTGACGCATTTGCATTCATTATAGTAGCCACCAAGGCCATTCAGAGAGATGCACACACGACCATCCTACCTCGTGCCAGTCTTCCAGTTTATTGTCAGAAAGATCGAGTTCAGAGACGTGAGCACAGAAGGCGGCGATCTCGTTTTCATCCCCTGCACAGGTTATGCCACAGCTGTTCAGCACCAGCACGCTTGGAAGGTTGAGACGATCTGAAAGGGTGAAAGAAAAGATGCCCCATGGTCAGCACCACACGCCTTTGGTACAGACAACAACACCTCCATCTCAGCGAACACAAACGAGGTGTGAAATTCATCACAAGGCAATGATCTGCCCCAAATGCCACGATTTGCACATATTTAAGAGAGATTGGGATAAGCGTGGTTCACATGACAAATGAGCAACATAAATCAAGAAGTTCTCTTGCATCTAAACATGACACATCGCACAGTATCAAAGCTCTTCAGTTACAACATTATTTTCTGCCCACAGCACAGCAGCAAGGACAGTCCCTTGGACTCGATAGCCAGTTTTGGCCTGAACTTACACTCCTCAGGCATCTGCTACTGCAGATAGGACACAGCACTAGCTGGAGTGTCAGCTGCACAGAGCCAGGCCCCTTTATCCTCTTGTGCTTAGCCCACATGGGCCAAGGGTATATTTAAGCACTTCTTTTTTAAGCTCTTCCTTTTCAACAACGTGCATGATCCCACAACCTGGAAGAGCTTCAGTCTCTGCTCTGCCTTCTGCTTCAGCTTTGCTCTCATCTCACGCAGGTAAACATTCTCAGCTATTTTGCAGACAAGGACTTAGAGCACTGTCATGGCCTATTTGCTAAGGCCAAACCATGACAAACTAAAAAGCTATGCATTTGTCACAGGAAACCTCTTTGATCCAAGAAATCCCCATTAAGGCAACGCAAACCACGAGCCTTACTCTCTTCCCCATACAGCATTCTCTCATCTCTGTTGAATAGCAAAATTTAACAACAAGGTTTTACCAAAGAGATGGCCCTTTTTCTGTGTCCTTCATACTCAACAGCTACACGGCCAGACAGGGATTCTAACAGCAGACAGTAGTCAGAGTGATTGGAGATTTCCAGTTTCTTGGCTCACTCCCATTTGGCTTTTTTAAAGGACAGCGTTGTACTGTGGGGATTAGTTGTGATGGACACGTAGGTCACGCCTTGATCACATTTGAAGACCCAAGTGCCTTGTCTTCAGCTCCCAACCAACTCAGGTAGGCGTGTGCTGGCACACAGCAGAGAGGGCACTGGCTGAAGATTCCATTGGGCTCATTTTCTGTTTGTGTTAATTTTGAGTGACATGTTGTATGTTTTATCCTTAACTAACCCCAGGCCCTTTTTTCTCCTCTGTCAAAATCAGTTACTGTACATCCCATCCAGCTCTCTTCCGTGCCTATTTTCCCCCTTGGGGCTGGTTATGGCACAAACTGACCTGACGGAAATTTAAACTAAACTCACAACCAAAGATGGGCAAGAGGTTATACAAAGAGGCAGCAGGTTGGTGGGATAAATGGGCACCTCAGAGTCATCTGTACAAACAGAGAACTGAATGCAAACATCAAAGCTTGAGGGAAGACTAAAGGGCATCAAACTAACCCAGTTCAAAGAGCATGAAATAGCAACACAGACTCTGCAGTACAGAAGACCGAAGGACATACATGAGCAGCACAGCACTTCAGACACACGTCTGTCTTGAAATTGCCTTCAGGCAGTACAGTCGGAAGCAAAGGAGAGGGATTTCTCCTGCAGTTCAGCAAAAGCATGCTCAGAGATCAGCTGATGCCTTGAGACGAGAACCAAAGCAAACCACAAACCCACTTGAGGCACAAAAGAAGCCTTGCTGGAGATTCCACAGCTCAGCACCTGGTTTGATATACAGTCCTGTGTGCACTGAACTCCCCCTGTACCCACAGGCACCAATGTGAGCTGATGGCACTCCATGATACCACTGGTATGTGGAGCAACGTCAAATATAGATCAAGCACTTCTGTATCATTCCAGCCACTAACAGTTAATATCATTAGGCTAATCAAAAATAAGCTGCAGGGACTGCTGAGCCCCCAGAACTCAGTGCTGCACAGAACCTGTGTTCCATCTCTGATTGAAAAGATTCTGATTCTGCTGTGCTGGCAGGGGGAAATTCAGTTCATTTTTCACAGCAACCTTCAGGCATTCAATCTGCTTTCAGTCTCTGCTAGTCTAGCCTCTCACCTTACAGTAAGAAACTCATCATAACACAGAAGGACATTTCTTCTGGGCAATTCAGGGCAATTCTTCATTCAACATAAGCAAAAAACAACCAAGAAACTGTTCCCACTGACACATACCTTTCATAGGTGAGCCCTGTGGAGTTGCTGGGACGTGCACACCCATACCAGGACCACGGCGATACGGGAAGTTCTCAGGGCTGTATTTCTCACAAAGAACTTGCATGAAACTCCTGCCACTGGGTTGGTCCATGCTCCTTTCTTGGACTTCTGGTTAATACAGAAAACACAGCATGCAATCAGTCATCATCACCTCCAGTTTTGGGAACATAGGACAGAAAGAGACCAGTCCCAGCTCATGGATTTTACTTCTCCATCTTTCAAATTAAAGATTACAGTGATACGGTAATCAGAGGGGGAAAGAAAAAAAAATAACTAAAACAACTCAAAACAAAGAAAATCATAAGAAAAACAAAACCACAGAAATCCCAGAGTTGAACAAACACCCTTTAAATCATACAGTCCACATAAAAAGCCTCTGGGCCCCACACTCTTCCAGGACCCTTCCCAACAGGACCCTTCTTGTGATCCAAGCTGCACAAGATCACTTCCATGCCTTGCAAAATGACTGTGAGATTTTCAAGATATTCGCAAACATCTGCAGGCTGCTGAGAATTGGGGAAATAGCAAAGAGCTGCTCAAGAGATTGCTCGAAGGGGTGCTTTCATCCCCCCAATTCCCTTTTCTCTATCAAAGGACTACACGTCACCATCAGCCTGGGGACTCCTAATTGCTGTGCACTGAAGTCACAGCGAGGTCTTTACACCCTGATGCAAAACAACTCTTTCATTGGCTGGAGCACCAGCAGTTATCTGTGCTCCTTTGCACTATCAGATTAAGATGTGCATGGCACAGATCAACTCCACCCCAGAGATGCATGCATTTCACCTGGACAGAATGGAAGAAATAAATAGTTTTTGGGTGGGGGAAAAAGGGAAGGAAGATTCACAGCACTCTGTTTGTAGAAAGACACTAAGCAAAGCAGCCTCCAGTTGCTTTGTTAAAATCAGGCCAATGCAGTACACAGCCTGGAGCTCCACAGGCTCAGCTAGCTGGCTTCCATCAGCAGGCACACAGCGTGTCATGAGCTACTCAAGTTGGAGAGGAAAAGACTCTCAGGACTCTCATCTGCACTGACAGCAGTGTCTCTCTCAATGCAAGGGCAAGTATCATCACTTCCCCTCTGACTCCACACAGAGCTGCAGTTGTTCTGTGCTGCTTGCAGATCTGGGCTTCTAATTAGAGCACAAGTGCTGTGTCACACCATGCTCTCAAGAACATAGGAGGCCATCACTTGGCCAGGCCAAAAAGCACGTTCTGCCAATTCCATTTTGCAGCTGTTTAATGTGTCTCGAAGATAAACATGCCCTTCATATCTAGGCAGGCCACAGAACAAACAGCACAGGAAAAAGGACTCCACATACCATGCATGGGCATGAGATAGCAGGGTCAGCTGCAAACCCACTTGGCACAAGGGGACCATGGGGGTCAGCACACTGCTGTGCCCACAGGAATGGGCCCTCCTGTCCTGCTTTGCCCCAGCTACACTGAGCTTGGCATTTCACATCATTCTGGATGACAGAAGCACAGATAAACAAAAACAATGTTGCTGACCAACATCAAATTACCATCTCCGTACGCTGCAATGAACTTTTCCATAGACTTGTTACTGGCAATGGCATATGCAAAAAAGCAAATCCAAAAAAGTTTCCTTTGCTGAGACTCACATGCTTACCACGCTTCATGATCCTACTGCCTAGAACACCTCCATCTCAATTGATTTTGACATCACACTAAGAAGCAAGATGACAAGACTATTAGAAATTTTGTGTGATCCATAGAGCTTACAGGTTACACACAGAGGCACCAGAGATCAGGCTTACTTAAAAACAAAACACCTTTTTTAGTCCTCAGCAACTTGGGTGCATTCACACATCCTGTCCTTTTCAGCTGCAGTATCAGAATCCTGACCTAATGACAGCCATGCTCATCACTTCTGAACTGCACACATTTTCTTTTTCAAGCTTTACTTTGGCAAGCCAATGCCAAGCAACATCATCATAGGGCAGTTATTTTCTCCACAACCCCACATCATGATATTTCATATTAATTATAACAACTTGTCACGCTCGTGGCACTTCTGCATCACTGCCATTACTTAAGAGCAAGGATTAACAAAGCACGCAAAGCAAACATGACACATTTCCCATGAATGCTGCCTGCACACGAGCAGGACAGGGCAATTTGCAGGGCACACGTTTCTGTGTGTTGTCCTACTGATGGCGCAAGGAACAATTCATCCTGAAACTACTCAGGGCTGTCCAAACGACAGCACGAACTGCAAATGCTGTGCTTGGTCTTTGAGAGCTGCTGACAAGCAGCCTTTGTTGCCTACACTTGAGCACTGCTGGAAGGAGGTGGCACGAGGCACAGCATCTGCAAAGAGGACATAAGAACATTGACAATGACTGTGACAGGGCTATAAACCAACCAGGAGCAAAGGCTGTGGATGCCCCATCGCTGCAGGCATTCAAGGCCAGGCTGGATGTGGCTCTGAGCAGCCTGGCCTGCTGGTTGGTGACCCTGCACACAGCAGGGGGTTGGAACTGGATGAGCATTGCGATCCTTTTCAACCCAGGCCATGCTATGATTCCATGAAGGATGATCCTTCAGAGGAATTAATTCATAGATGACACCCTCCAGTGCAACCGGGATCCCTCCAAAGCTGAACCCAAGCATGCACACGATGCATTTCAGCACACGACAAACATCTCCCAGAAAGCAGTTGGCCCGTGACGCGACCCAAAACATTTCCATAGAACCACCACGATTGGAAACGGCCACTCCGAACGCCGAATCCAGGCCCTGAGAGCCGCCACAGCCAACACGGTCAGAAACATCACAACCGCACGTGGCCGCAACCAGCTGCGGGGAGAAGCCGGGGGCGAGGGCCGGGAGAGGAGCACCGCGGGCAGCAGCACGAAGGACGGCGGGCACCCGGGACCCCATCGGCGCAGCACCCCGGGGCGGCTGGAGGAGCGGAGCCGCGGCCCTACGAGCGCCGTGCTGCCGCTCAGCGACACGCGTGGGCCGAAGCCCCGCAGGCGCAGCCCGGTGCGGCCTCACTCCGCAAATCGCCGCGCTGCCCGCGCCCCCTCCAGGCCCCGCTCCCTCATTCCCTCAGCGCCCGGACGGCGGTTCCCACCGCCCGCTTCTCACGCCTTCCCACCGCCCCGCTCTCACCCAGGCCCGGCGGCCGCGTCCCGCATCGACCCGGAAACAACTCGGTAGCAACCAAACATCACGTGACTGCCCCCCCGTCACGTGAGCGGGGCCGGGACGGTCGCCATGGAAACGGAGATGCTGCGCCCCGCGGCCCGCTCCTCCCGCACCGCTGTGGTGACGTCAGGCGAGGGGGGGGGGGGGCACTGGGCCTCATCCCAGTGTAGCCCCGGGAGCTGCCATCACGGCTGGGCTGGGTGGGACCTGGAGGCATCCAAGGCCGGGCTGGATGTGGCTCTGGGCTGCCAAGCAGGCTTTGTTGCCTATACTTGAGCACTGCTGGAAGGAGGTGACATGAGACACAGCGTCTGCAAAGAAGAGCATGAGAACATTGACAATGACTGTGACAGTGCTATAAACCAACCAGCAGCAAAGGCTGTGGATGCCCCATCCCTGCAGGCATTCAAGGCCGGGCTGGATGTGGCTCTGGGCAGCCTGGCCTGCTGGTTGGGACCCTGCACACAGCAGGGCTTGGAACTGATGAGCATTGTGCTCCTTTGCAGCCCAGGCCATTCTGTGACTCTACAGTGATTCTATGATTATGGGTCCCTATGGATCCCTATGGCACCTATGGATTCCTGTGACACTAAGGATCACTGTGGCTCACTGTGGATCCTTATGGCACCCTGTGGGTTCTCTGTGCAGCCTGGTCTGGCGGTTGGGGACCCTGCACACAGCAGGGCTTGGAACCGGATGAGCACTGTGCTCTCTTTGCAGCCCAGGCCGTTCTGTGACGCTTGGTGTCACCCCCCCAGCACCCCGGGTCTGCCTTGCTCCTTATGAGCACTTTGCTCATTTCTCACCTGAGGTGGCAGCCCGCCCTTGCCAGGATGACACAACAAACACCAAACCACCCCGCACACTGCAGCCCTGCACACAAAGCCTTGGCTCTCCGTTTCCCAGACATCTGTGGAGAACGACTTGTTTACATCCTCACCCAATGCCGGGTTCTGAAAGATTCCCATTGCTGCCCTGCATCCTGGGGCCAGCAGTAGCACTGTGAGGAGGGGTCAGAGCTCAGGCAGACATCAAACGTCTCCTCACCAAGCTGCCAGCACTGAGGTGTGTGCATGCCCTGATTTCCCTTTAACACGTTAAAAAAAAGCCCTTTGCTGTTCTTTCTTATTACCCTGTTGACACAACATTGGTTTTACTTTGTTCCCAGGCAGGCCAGCAGAAATGAACATTGCCTCGCTAGCGTTCCTGTAAAAAACATCTCCCCACATGCCCTGAATGGCTTATTTGGTTCTTTTTATACATTCCAGGGAGAGCTTTGTCTCCATTTGGTTTTCCTTTCCTCGCCACTTCTCGTATCTGTTTCAGGGAGATAAAGAACTCCATTGCATTCAGAGCCTACACTCTTTTTTTCTAACAATCCTCACTATTTTTTTTTTTTTTTTTTTTTTTGCACAGCTTACCTGTGCTATTTAGTTGCTAGAAGGAAGAAAGAACATACTTCAGCTGGCAACCTGCACCAGCAGGCTACATTTTAATTTTAAATACGCTGTAGGTGCCGCTTTCTATAGTTACAGATTAACTGGATATAACAGCTGTCTGTGTGAGCCTGGCTCACTCAGTGCTGGAAGTGTGAGAAAGTGACCGGTGCATTAATTAAAGACAGTGTTAATGGGGACAGTACAACTCGGGGACTTGTTAGCACAATATAGTCTTTCACCTCAAGGTGCCAGTTTGAATACAGCCCTGGCTAGCTCCAATGGGATGCTCTTATCTGTTGGATGCCTCATTGTCTGGGGGAACTGAGTTTGATGGGTCTCAATCTACTCCTCCTCAGAGGATGAGTATCTCCTTCCAAAGCCTTTACAGCCCCAGTGACCTCCCTGGCAGGCTCCCCCTGTTCCCACAGTCACCTCCCCTAGGGTTAAGCAGGCCATGGGAACCAGAGTCACCTCCCAGAAGGGGATACTGACAGAGGTTCTCATTGACACCGGAGCCACAGAACGAGGACAAGGCAGGAGAGCACTCAGTCCAGTGGGATCCTCGTGAGGTGACAGAGCCATCAAAGCCCCATATGGGTATTATCTTAGATATTATACTTTTAGAGCTAGACTTGAGCAACCGGACCAGGAAAACCATCCCCAATATTTCAGTAAGTTCTGCTCACAATCCTCTTCTCATGACTTTATGCTTACCATGTGCCACTGCTAAACATCACTTCTATCAAGGGAGTCATGTACTGGGGTCTGAGCTGGCTCCTGAGCTTGTGCACCACAAGGGAACGCGTGAACATCCAGAATACAAGCCACACACTCCCCTCATTTCACTCCTGTCTCAGCTGGAGCAGAAACATCAGGCAAAAATAAACACGTGTGCTCTTCAAAATTATCCACAAGGAAGATTCGGACATGGTCTGTGTTAAAATAAAATGAATTATTAGTCACAACAGCAGTTTAAAAAAACGAGCTTCCTTGTAGTCTGATGTGCCTAAACCCACGGATTCCCTGGCTATCAGCATCCAACATCTCTCGCCATGCCCATGGCAGCACACATGGGGACAAACCGAGAGCACCGCATTGCCTGTGATTGCACCCTGAGTTAATGCAGTGCTGGAAGGAGCCTTCAGCAGCCTCTGTCCTCATCGGAATGATTTTCCCTCTCTTTAAATCACCAGAGGTTTTTAGGGGAGGATCGGAGGAGAGAACTTGAAACATTCGCAATTTGCTCCTTTTTTGCCTCTTTTTGATCCTTTTGCTTATGGGTTTGGCAACTGCAGCTTTCTTCATCCTCAGAGATTATTCTTCAATTCCTCAAAGAGTCTTCAATTTTCTCACAAATCTCTCTTCCTTTCACTTAATTTAAACATTTTTGGCCAATTTCATGATTTAATAATGAGAAATAAAATTGGAGATTTAATAAGTGTCGAGAGAAGACCTTCCATTTCAGCTGGGGATTAAGAAGGAGCTAAAGGTGCGAATCCCCTTCTCCTGTCCTGAGCTGCAATGTGTGAAAGAGCCCAATCCTGAGCAGTGCTGAGTGCTCAGTGCTCCCACTGAGGTTGGGCACATCCCATACACACAAAGCTCAGTGCAGATTTGGGCCCTGTAAAACACAGCGTGAGCACATAAATCCACCGCAGCGCTGTCTCGTGGATGTCTTGCTAATAACTTTAAAGCCTGACTTCATTTTGCTCTACCTGCAGCAGATCAACTCTGAGCAGCTCCTCGCCGCACCATTAATTTAAGGTAACAATTCACTTAGATCTTTGGTTCTGCGTAAGTGCTTCCCAAAATCACATCTTCGCTCTCTGTCAATTATCTGCGACTAACGCACCTTGAAGTTACCTCTTAGAGCAAACATCGCCCTGCTGCTGTAATTCTAAAAGACTGTCGGGGGCCAAAAGATAGGAGCGACGCCCCAGAGACTCAGCCTGCAAATTCAGATGTAAAAAATAAGGAATAAATCAGTGCCAGTGCAGCCTAAAGATCAATTGGATTTTTATCATTTGGGAATTGCTGGCCGTGTTCGCAGGACCAAATGGACCTTGAGCTTTTTGTTCATCCGATTTCATTTTCTGGATGACTACTGTTAGATAAAGGCAGCTCCTCGGGTACCTCTGCGCTGCTCTGGCCATCACATCATGTCTGGCAGCTGGCAAATCGCATCTCCAGCACTCAGTACAGCACTTGCTGGCTTTTCTGTTGCCGTCTCCATCACAATGTGGCTTCTCCCACAGGATTGCCCTTCTGCTCCCCAAAACTAAGCGTGCCTTGCTGTGCCAGCCCCATCATCTGTTCTTATCCCACAGCCATGGGAAATCTCTCTGGGCTGTCCCAGAGATGCTGACCCAGCCTGAGTCCCAGTAAATGTGAATGTGGGCTTCTCCTGTTGCCTCGGGATCTGCCTGCACCGTGCAGCAGTGTGACAGCTGTGTGCTGCCCTGTCTGGGGCCTGTCTCCATCTGCACCACTGCTTCCACTCTGCTCGGTCAGGCAGAAAAGGAGCCAGCAGACAGACATGAGCCCAGCCGTGGAAATGGTTCGGTTTTCCCTTGCCAAATGCTCTGCATTCCCACCTAGTTGTTACAATGAGACCGAGAAGCTCTCTGATTTTGGACGGGACTTTGGCTGGGAGCAGAGGACAGAAAGAGAGATGTCTCTTCCTGTCTTGTGTGCATAACAACTCCATAGCAGGTTTGGATCTCACTCGGAGTTATGATGCAGGCTGAGCATGTAGGCTGCCAACATTCATAATAATTAACCATTAATGTTAGCAAACACTTGGCAAATCTCCACCAGCTTTCATTTGAAGCTCTCACAGTCCTTTGTAAACATGAACAGATTAAGCCTTGCCAAGACCCCCTCCAGTCCTACGCGTTAATCCAGAGAATATCCTCCACTTTCATTCTCCAACAGGGGACTTAGTATGCATGGTGCTGTTTGGAAGGGTTTGGATCAGCGCTGCTGTGTGGTGCAGAGCTGAGACCCAGGGCAGCACGGCGCTGCTCTCAAGCCATTTGCTATGAGGACATCACCCATCGTGCCTGCTGGGGCCTGGTGGCATTATGGCCATCTGGCTTTGCCTTCCTTGCTGCTGCTTCTTAACAGCTCCTTGCAGAAAATGATCTTTTGGTCAAAACTGAACAAAAATAAAGGGCTGCTTTCCAGAAAAACGATCTCCCTCTTGAAATACAGTGTTTGTCTGAAGGAATTATAACGAGAAATATAGCTTCTGTGTCTGCAACACCTCCACAAAGACACTCCCACCCGAGACTCTGTTTTTCCATTTGAAGCCAAGCTCCAAGGAGAGACATCCACCCATTTGACCCCCTCACATGGCCAGCACTGTGCCAGGGCCAATGAAGCACCCAGCCAACAAACCTTCTCCCCATGGACAAGCCCTGAGCATGGACATGGCATCACCTCCTGCTATCACCCAGCTCCCCACTGTGCCGTGACCTCCATCTGTGTTGCTCGGGGGCTACAGAGCGATGGGTGGCTGGAGAGTAACACCACAGGCTGTGTGCTCACCTACCTCCCCCGTTTTAATTCAAAAGCAACAATCAGAGCGTCCTCCTGGCCGTTTGCTATTTGCTGTAGAGCTGGAAGAACA